AAGTGGACAAATAAGGAATCTCGGATATGGTTATAAGAATACATATTGAAAATGCAAAGACGAATATAATTTGTTGAAGAACAAAATATCTTTAAGGAATGCTAAATTATACCTAATTTGAATTGCCTTGGCCTTTGACCTAGACCTAAATTTTTAGATTTTAACTCAATGAAAATTTTCCTGCTTGACCCATGTCTCTACGACTTGTCATTTTAGACAAGTTTTTGATAATCATTATCATCACAAACATTCATGGACAATCATTCATGATAGATGTTACGATTCCTTTCTTTATGTATGATTGAAGAATCTACAAAATGAGTCGTAGACAATAATAAGGGTTTGGAATCTCTACATTTAATGTTTTCGGATGAGTAGCGATAAGAAGGTTTTATTGCCAAAGGGGTCTTAACTCATTGAGGGGTCAAAGTTATTATACGCATGGTCAACTGCAAAAATCTTTTACGAACTACAATATTAATCACTGAAATCTTTTTTCCTAAATCCTGAAACCAAAAATGACATTGGGGAAAAATAATAAGAAAGAAGAAACAGAAAAGAATCAATAGATATTTCCAAGAAAGTTCGAAAGACTTAATAAGCGCTAAAACTCACTGCATTGTTTTCCCCTTAAAACGTTTGATGCATGGGGGGTGTTCGCTGAATACACAGGGTTAGGGTTAGGGGTTAGGGTTAGGAATAGGGCTAAAAATGAAGATGCCGGATTTAGGTCATGCCGGAATTAGGTCAAACAAACTGAAAGTGGCAAGTGAAAGTCACAGATAGAAGCAAAAGTAAAGGAAAAACTGGAACTTTCCGAAGCTCATAACTTTTTGGGGTTAGGGTTAGGGTTAGGGTCAGGGTCAGGGTTAGGGTTTGGGTTAAGGGTTAGGGTTAGGGTTAGGGTTAGGGTTAGGGTTAGGGTTAGGGGTTAGGGTTAGGGGTTAGGGTTAGGGTTAGGGTTAGGGTCAGGGTTAGGGTTAGGGTCAGGGTTAGGGTTAGGGTTAGGGTTAGGGGTTAGGGTTAGGGTTAGGGTTAGGATCAGGGTTAGGGTTAGGGTCAGGTTAGGGTCAGGGTTAGGGTTAGGGTTAGGGTTAGGGTTAGGGTTAGGGTTCTAGTCCATAGGTAAAATGTAACTTAATTTTACACTTTTTGTAACTTAATCAAGACCAAGTGTAAAATGTAACTTAATTAAGTGTAAAATGTAACTTAATTGTGTAAAATGTAACTTAATCATATCAAATGTAACTTAATCATTTTTAACCCCAAATTATCGATCTCTTTGATTTTATTGATTAGTTTAGCCCGAATTTACTCTGTTTTGAGCTTCCTAACCCTCTATGTTTTAGCGTTATATCTTGATTTATAGCTGAGATCTGAACCTATTAGGTTACTTTTTACACATTTATTCAGACTATTTTCTAATGTTTTTAATTACAGAAATGAAACTTTTAATCAAAATTATATGTATAATTTAAATATTTTGGATAATATTATGGCTCAAAATACTATCTTTCTCTCAAAATAAATCTAGCACATCTCATTATATATTAAGTTACATTTTACATTTTCTAACCCCCGGGGTTAGAACAATATTTATATTTATAACAGATTATCATGTATTTAAGCTTAAAAACACTGTGTAATGATACAACTTGCCATGATAATGAAAGATGTCGCATAAAAAGTCATACTTTGTGCAAATAACCCCATCTATTACATTATTATAGAATGTATATGAAATGACAGATTATATGCAACCTAAAATAAAGATTAGGTACAGAATTAAACCAACTCAGCATGTTTCAAATTGTACTTATAAAATATATCATGTTTCAAATTGTTCGCAACACTCAGTTTATCGAATTATCAAGCCGCAACAAAAAATTAATGCCTTTAGTGTTTTCGACTTGTCATGACTACTCAATTGCCCAAATTTTCTTCGAATACACATTTAAGTAAAATTTTTTTGATTTATATTTGTACGGTTAATTTAGACAAAGAAATAACAACCCTTATTTTACTTTAATTCCATGTATTTATAAGAAATACATGGAAAATGTAAATTCTTAACCCTGGGGTTAGAAAGTGTAAAATGTAACTGAACATTTTTTTTAACTTTATGTACTGTTTTATTTGTTATAAAGTAGTAAACGAGTGAAATAAATAGAAGAAAACATGTTTCTAAATGTTCGCAATACTTTGTAATTCAAAAAATTATGTTGTAATTATTTAAGAGGGACTTAAGTGATTTCGACATGTCGTGACATCAGATGTGTCCTTATTTTTGTCGATTACGTATAAAATTAATTTTATCTGCTTTATACTTGTACGGTTAAGTAATTCGAAGGAAATTGAATCTTTATTTCACTGTAGTTTCCTGTATTTACAAGAAATACAAGAAAAATGTATATTGTTGGGACTTGAAAAATTCACCTAAAATGCTACTTACCTTTGAGCAGAGGTCATTTGTAGGGATGTTGTCGAATATTTCTTTTAATTTCAGGTTATTCATATTCAATGAAGGTTGATTTTCCTGTAATATAAAATATTAAATGATGTATAAGAAGAAAATATCCAAAAAGGGAATGCAGTATATTGAGCACTGCATATGAAGCATAATAAAATATTACCTTTTTATCACGATCTGCACTGTTCAACTGCTACCTGTAGACTAAACACTAGCATCAGCACTCGCCGGTATTTATAGTTCCCAAGAGACGCTGAGTCATCGTCTTTGTCTAGGTCACTACAACGTTTAATGCTACATAGCCAACACACTAGAAAGCATCTGATTGATAACTAATTTGCATATTATTAATTTGATCAAGGGAACTTCTAGTTCAATAGCATATCATGTTTTAAATTGTTCGCAATACTTGGTTAGTCGGTAAATGATGTCGCAACCTCAGAAGAATCGCTTTATTGATTTCGACATGTCGCGACACCTGATTTGTCTTTATTTCTATTGATTACGTATAGAACTGAAATATTTTTATTTATACCTGTACGGTTATCCTAGAGAAAGAAAAAACAAACTTTATTTTATTTTATTTACTTGTATTCTTAAAAGAATGCATTGTAAAAGAATTCTTTGAAATTTGGGGTTAGAAAGTGTAAAATGTAACTTAAATAAGAAGTAAACCTTAGTCACAGTTATAGTTGCAACAAAGTGGAATATGTCTTAAATTAACTAAATATACATTGATTCTTACTGTTCGCAATAATCGCTAAGTCCAAATATTCAGTTGCGACTAAACAAGGGCCACTTAAGGGATTACGAGATGTCGCGACTCCTGATTGGTCCTTATTTTTGTCGATTACGTATAATCCTGAATTTTTTTGCTTTACATTTGTACGGTTAACTTAGACGAAGAAAAAACAGCCCTTATTTTACTTTAATTCCATGTATTTTTAAGAAATACAGGAAACATATAAATTTTTAACCCTGGGGTTAGAAAGTGTAAAATGTAACTTAAATCATAAGTGAACCTTATGCACTGTTATAGTTGCAACAAAGTGAAATATGTCTTAAATTAATAAAATATACCTTGTTTTTAACTGTTTGCAACACTCGGTTAGTCCCAAAATTCACTTGCATCTAAACAAGGGCCGCTTAAGTGATTTCGAGGTTTCGCGACACCTGATTGTCTCTTATTTTTGTCGATTACATATAAATCTTAAGTTTTTTGCTTAATATATTAATGCTTAACTTAGACGAAGAAAACACAAGCATAATTTAACTTTAATACCCTGTATTTTCAAGAAATAAAAGAAAAATGTTTTTTTGATGGGACTTAGAAAATTTTACTTAAACTATTTCTTACATCTGAGCAGAGGTCATATAAAAGAAAACTGAGATATTCTGGCATTATATTCTGATAATTTATCTTTAATAAAAGTAATTTCTTCTAGGATATACAGTTAAAATTGATTAATAAAAAAATGGGGCCCAAAAAGGGAAATTCAAAAAAGATTAAGTTACATTTTACACTTTTGTCATGTAACCATACTCAATAAATAGCCCTTGAAGGTCATTTAGAAAAGGCTACAGTTTCTGTTTGTAACCATGACAATATCCTCTAAACAAGGTTATGATGTACCTCTATTTTTAATGCTAATCCCAGACCAGGACCATTTCCTCTTTATATGATATAAAAAATTAAGTTACATTTTACACTTTTTAACTCCATTTATATGACCCAATTTTTGGAAAAATGAGATAAAATTATGTCAATTTTGTAGCATTTTATTAGTACTTTTAGGGGCTATAAAGCATTTTTCTGTATCTGTTAAAAACATGCCCGGGGTTAGGTCCTAAAAAATCTCAAAAAGTGTAAAATGTAACTTAATCCAATTTTTTGTGAAAAAAGTTAGGGTAAGGGATATTTTTTTTAAAACGAGTTTTTGACCCATTTTAAGTTAGATAACGCCTAGATAGAGCTATTATCTACAACATTTCCAAAAATCACAAAATTCCGCCGGTTTTTAAGCAGTTTAGAGAAGTAGACCACTTATTTTTTTCAAACCCTGAACAATATTGAGATTTAGGTATACCCAAAAATTTGAAATTTTTTATTCCTTTTTAGCGAGCTTTTTTTCTTACAGGGGGTTAGGCAGCGGTTAGATACGAACCCTTGAGGGGTTAGGTTTATTTCCTAGCCCCCCTAGTTAAGCCTCTAACCCCCTGCAAATACAAGCCCAAATGGATTAAGTTACTTTTTACACTTTTCAATTTTCACCACCTAGGGTTAGGTATTTAAACCTAGGGTTAGATATCAACAACCATATAAATTAGTTATTCTGGGCTAGAACTACTAATTAATCACCTCTAATTAATCCTAATATGCGTTAATAATAATATATGCTATGTCAAAGATTAAGTTACAAAAAGTGTCATCAGGCATATAATTAGGGTTAGGGTATAGGGGGTTTTACGAAGATCGCTCCGGAGTCATCTCGTCAATGTCAATTTTTGTCACGTGATTTCAGTAGGCGTGGTTATTGTTTTTTTTATCTTAATACTTTGTGTAGCAAAGTATCAAAGTTTATTTTGTTATTTCCATCATACACTTTGGCTCAGTAGGTAGAGCAGCGGACTTCAGATTAAGGGGTGCCGAGTTCGATTCCCGATGGAATCGTTCATTTTATAGCTCAATTTATTTTTTCTAAAGTTGAAAATCGATGATTAATTACTGATCTATTCGAGTCAAGTATTATTACATATTTAGGTTTTATACCTTTTTGTCCAAATCTTGCTTGGAAATCATTTGTTTGGATATATAGAGAAATCATTGAATTCACAAGGAAGGAAATGTTACAGTAAAAAAATAATAATTTAATTTCGTATAACAAGAATAATTCCCTTCCGCTCCCTAACCCCTCTTTTTTATCATACATTTTGGTACAACTCTTACTCTAAAGAATGTTTATTAGCTTATTGATTCAGCTTTGACTCTTTGTTACGGGTAGGGTAATGGGGCTTTTATTGTAACTCCTGGTAAGTTGCATCTTGTCAATGCCCCCAAAAATCACGTGATAATTGTAGGTACAGTTTTACTGATATATTTTTTTTCATAGAGAGTTTTAAAACCTTTACGTCAGTTCTATTTTTATTATCACGTGCATACTTGTACGTTTAAACCGCCATTTTACTACTCAAGACAATAGGAAGATGTCAAAGAAAATCAAAGAATCCGGTAAGTGGAATAGAGGAAAAGGAATCTTTTCTTAATGCTTGAGATTTAAATATTTTCTGAGAATAAAACAAACTTCAATATGTGGATGAAAAATGACCGAGTTAATAAGAAATAAAGTAGTTTTTACGATTATCAAAATTTGAGATATAGATAAGAGAAAATGACTTTAGTTGAAGATATAAGTAATACCGTATTGAATACCACAGTGAATACCCTGATCTGAAGTGTAAAAATTGCGTTATGAAACAAGCAAATAGATAAATATCTTCTCTTGACCCGATAATATGAATCATGAAATATTGACTTTGTCCATGAAGGGAATTTATTGGAATAAACAATTCTTTTGAAAACGTCTGTACGTCAACTGTATTTAACTGAAAATTAATTCACAATATATATATATATTTGTGGTAAAAACTCTTTGATTTCTTTTAAATCTCAAGTCATACTTTGTATGTGATCTTAGTACCAAACTGAAATCTTTACATAAACCATTATATCAAATGATCCCTAACTCTAACCTTAACCTTAATCTTAACCTCAATCCTAACCTCAATCTATTTACCCATTAAATCTCACTGAAAGAACAGAATAATGTAAGCACACACAGATTACTTCATGAGATTTTAATACAATGAAGATCCAAAACAAATAATATCTTCACTTAGAAAAATAAGTAAGTAATAAGAATGAGGAAGATTTCAAGTTAAACTATATAACTATATTTAATTAATAGATGAATCTCGACTCTCTAAACCTGGAAAAGAGGAGATGAAAGGAAAGCAAGTAAAGAAGATAGAAGGTATATCCAAAGTTATCAACAATAAGTTATCATACTTTATGAATTCTGTTTAATTTCATTCAAAAAACAAGAAGCAATGAGGAAGTTGGTAGGATGATAAAACTCCAATTAGAGTTTTCGATTTGGTTTCGGTTTAAAATTTATTCAAGGAAATTAATGTAAAGAATATCGTTTGTACTATATTCATGGCGTAAATATAATTTACTGATTCTCATGCTTGATAAATGATTTCTTCAAAAGAACAAATGAAATTTACAGATCCTGTCTCATCCACAAGTGGAATGGAGCAAGAAAAAGGAGAGGACTTTAAAGGAAAGCAAGAAAGAAAGATTGAAGGTAGACCAAAGCTTATCAACAATAAGTTATCAAACTATATGAATTCTTATAATTTCATTCAAAAGACAACAACCAATGTTGTAGGTGGTAGGATGATAAAACTCCAAATTAAAGGTTAAGTTTTGGGTTCAGTTAAAACTGGATGCGATGAAACTAATATAAATTAAAATTATTGAACTTTATTCATGGTGAAAATATAACTGACTGTTTCCAATGCTTGATGAATGGATTCTTCTAAAGAACAATTAAAATTTTTAGATCCTGTCTCGAGCACAAGTGAAATGGAACAAGGGAAAGAAGAGAAATTGGAATTAAAGCAAGACAGAAAGAATGAAGGTAGACCAAAAATATAAATTTAATTTCAACAAGCAGTGTTGTAGTTGGTAGGATAAAAAATCTTCAAATAAGAGAATTAGGTTTGGTTTTGGAAGCAGTTTATGAGCTCACCTGAACTGAAATCTTTAGTGAGCTTTTCTGATCACATCTTGTCCGACATCCGTCTGTCCATCTGTCAGTCTGTATGTCCCTCTGTCTGTCCGTTAGTCTGTAAACTTTTTCACATTTTCATCGTCTTCTCAAGAACTTTTGGGCCAACTTCATTAAAACTTGCCACAAAAACTGTTTTAGTTAAGGGGGTTCAAATTTGTTCAAATGAAGAGCTAGGCCCCCTTCAAAAGGGACATAATTATGAATAAGTAAAACTCAAAAGCCATGTTTGTTCATATTTTTATGGAATCATCATCAGGTAGTGTATCTTGAAGTTTATAGAAATTATTACCCACAAGGGTAGGGCGGGGCCACAATGACTGACCATTGTTTTAAAAAGAAATATATAGGACAATTCTATAATTAACTTCCCTAAATTAAAAAATCCATGATTGGTCTTATTTTTTGGAAGCATCCTCAGTTAGTATAGATTCAAGTTCAAATCATTACACGACACCCGGGGCTTGGCAGCGTCCACAAAGACCGAGCAGTTTCACATTGAAATATGTATGAAAAATGTATTAAAAACTAAAGACTAGCAATGGCACGATTGATCATATTTTTAGGGAAGCATTCTCAGTAAGTGTAGATTCAAATTCGTTTCAACCACCGGTGGTTGGGCAGGGTCACACTAGCTGACCAAAGTTAAACATAGAAATATATGATAAAATTCTTTAAATATTTTGTCTAGAATAGCAAAGATGTAATTGGTCTTTCATATATTGATATGGAAGAAGTTTAGACAATTTAACAAGGTTTGTGCAAATCATTCCTTCTCCCATTTAAATAATGGTTTAGACTTTTCAATAATAACTAATATTTTCTTTCATGCTAGCCACAGTGCGAATGTGAGCAATGTGGCCCACGAACCTCTTGTATTAGATGCAATGATATTGATTTAGAAAAAAATTGAACTAAATTGAAATTCATAGCGAAAATGTTATTGACTGATTTCCATGCTTGATGAATGGTTTCTAAGTGGAATGTAAAAACGTTTTTAAGCTACTTTTATTTATCTTAATATCTCCTTTAAACTGAAAAGATAAAAAGAGAATAAGAACTCTTAGGTAAAATATTTAAAATGTTTTACAGATACCCCAGTGAGACAGAATATATGTATGGAGGATGATGAAATCCCTTCAAGTCAACGATGAAAACACCGATATCGTATGTTTAACGAAGCGAAGAAGTTAAGAAAACGAAAACATAGCTTCGTCAGGAAAAATGGGTTTCAATTAAAATGAGGCTGATTGCTTGTTTTAACATGACGGTTTTTGGACATTTTTTGTAAATAAAGTTAAATCTTGACTTAAACATGATGCTTTGATTGAAAATTAAAGAAACTGTTTTATTAATTTTGTTAGAAATTTCATTTGGAATATAGAAAAAAAAACCTGGAGGTTGATGTTTGTTTGTAAAGACAAAAGTTCCATACTTTGAATAAATAAATTTGAGCAATCAGTGTATTTAGTTAAGGAATGATTTGTTATTGAACTTGATCAGTTTTTCAAAACCTTAATGAGGAAAAATTATGTTGAAATCTAGCAAGATGTTTCTAGGTAAATACTATGAAAGCTGATGGTCTAGTTATCAGAATAGGGTTGATTTTCTTCCTCAAAGAAACTTAATCAAAAACTTCCTGAACAATGTAAAATATGTGAGTGATTGATTGAATTTTTCGAAAATTTTCCACTCATATGGAGATGTCACCATTTACTGGTAGAGAGCAGTGTATTCTGTACTATACTCGACACTCAGGACTACTGAGCAGGGAAGGATCTTTTTCGTGCAAGCACCTACTGCGACACGGGACTTCGGTTTATACGGTATCAACAGAGGAACCGCTGTACATGTCCCACAGTTGGATTCGAACTATCGAGTTCAGGATCAACACCTCACATCACGATTTATAGAGAAGACGCTCTGAGTCAAATGCTGACTAAAGTTTTTCATAGCAATTGTTAGTCCATTATTAATACACTAATGCACGACATATTTCCCCCTCCATTATTTCCTGATCATGACAACGAGCACACGGCGGGTGTGACCGCTTGGCAGGGGATGCTCACTCCTCCATGGAATCTGATCCCACTTCTGATGTTTTCGAGGTCTGTGTTTCCTCTGCTCTTATTTTGTTATATTGTTTTATGGACTTTAAGATTGAATACTGCTCCTTATTTCCATATCCTCCTCTAACATTTCACCACCAGGGCGACTTTACATATGAGGTTGAGAATATAAAATTATTTTAACTTTTGATTGCAACACTATAATTAAAGATAAATCAGCCAAAAGAAACAAAGGAGTTGACGTGAAGGTTGTGATAATGCTTAAGGAGTATTCCGAAGAATATCCCCAACGTTTTTGATTTTATAGATCTTTGTTTCAATATTTTTGATTTATGGTATCGTTTCTGCATTGAAAGGAAAAATTATCTCCTTATAAGTTGATAGAATTATTTTCCTATTTTAACAAAATGGAAAAAAATTACAAGAAAGTAAGATGTTTCTTGCTTAATATTTGCTATTAATCAATGCATCACATGGATACCTAATAAAATATGGAGAGAAAAGTCGAATTGAAATGTTTAGAAATAGAAAAAAAATCATTAAAATAAAACAAATATTTTTTTTTGTACTTTTGTTCAAATTCTTAAAACTAGGCACATCTGAAGAAGAACATGTTTGTTAATCATATTTTATAAGAAATGCTCATGAAAGTTTTAAATTTTACAGAAACATATTTTTTTTAAAGTTTGGCCAATCGCGATGAAAAATAAATCGATCCCAACCAGAATTGAACATTTATTTAGATACAATTAACATTTCTCGAAAAAAAACTCGTCTTATTCGGAATAAAAGAAGTTTTTTTTAAATGAACTTGGCAATCAAATATATCCTTCATAGTAAATACATGAAAAAGGCAATAAACATGTTTTGTAGTTATTATGTTGAAATGTTGATGGGGTTGGTGTAATTTTTATCGGGTTAAATAACAAATTAAAAATAAATAATTTTTCCCCTAAATCTTTGCAATTTCAATTCAATTTCTCTTTAAAATATGATTGGAAAACATTTTTTGACTAGTGTCATGGTGTTTTTAACCATTGCTTTAAAAATATCCCACAAGTGATGAATTTCAATTCATAAATAATTGGTATAAAATTTAACAAAAAAGTCTATGCAGCATTTCTTTGCATATTTTATTAGACATTTATATGACGCATTCATTTACAGGCAATCTTTTAGGTAGAAAACAACTAATTTGAAAAGAAATACTTTTTTCTTTATTTTTCTTTAAAAAAATACAAAAGAAAAATTCATTGCTAATATCGGCCTTTCAATGCCTCGGGCCATTCTTTAAGAAGAATGCCACAAATATTTGTTTGATAATTACCATATCAATATTTCACCCTGAAACAGGAAATAAAATTTTATCTAAATTTCCAATCCTTCGTTAACTTTTAAACCTTTCTTTGATATCAATCTTTAACCTTAACCTTACCCTTTATCTTCAAACCTAACCTTAACCCGGTATCTTAAACTTAACCAGGTATCTTTAACCTAACCTAGTATCTTAAATTTAACCTGGTATCTTTAACCTAACCTAGTATCTTAAACCGAACCAGGTATCTTTAACCGAACCTGGTATCTTAAACCGAACCTGGTATATTAAACCTAACCTGGTAAATTAAACCTAACCTTGTATCTCAAACCTAACCTGGTATCTTAAACCTTTATTGGTATCTTAAACTTAACTTGATATATTAAACCTTACATTGTGTTTAAACCCTAAGCTTGTATATTAAACATTACCATAATCTTAAACTAGTTTCTTAAACCTAACCTGGTATCTTAAACTTAACCTGGTATCTTAAACCTAACCTGTTGTTTTAAACCTAACCTGGTATCTAAAACCTTACGTGGTATCTCAAACCTAACCTGGTAAATTTAAACATAAACGGGGATCTTAAACCTAACCGGTATCTTAAACTTTACGTGGTATCTCAAACCTAACCTGGTATCTTAAACTTAAATTGGTATCTTAAACTAAACTTGGTATCTTAAACCTTACCTGGTATCTTAAACCTAGCCTTGTATCTAAAAAATTACCTTAATCTTAAACAAGTTTTCTAAATCTAACCTGGTATCTTAAACCTAACCTGGTATCGAAAACTTTACCTGATTTATGAAACCTAATCTGGTAACTTAAACCTAACCTGGTATCTTAAACTTTACTTGGTATCTTAAACCTTACTTGGTATCTTAAACCTTACCTGGTATCTTAAACCTTACCTTTGTCTTAAACTGGTTTCTAAAACTTAACCTGGTATCTTAAACCTAACCTGGTATCAAAAACTTAACCTGGTAACTTAAACCTAACCTGGTTACTTAAACCTAACCTGGTATCTTAAACCTTACCTGGTATCTAAAACTTTACCTGGTCTTAAACTAACCCTAACCCTGAAGTAAGATATAAAATATTGTTTCTGGTTTTTCTTAACAAGAAAAGTTAATACTTTGGATATTGATCATTTTACAAGATGTTATTTTTCTTAAACTTGTTAAAATCTTTAGGTCTAGAAATATAAAATTATTGAAACGTACTTTGTTCATTGGGGTCATAATTTTTTGAAATGTCTAATATTTAATCATGTTCCATGCGCAGATCTCGAGGGGGTGCGGTGGTCGGTCGACCTCCCCCCCCCCCCCCCCCGCCCCATCCCCTGAATTTTTAAAGATATTTTATTGATAAAAAAGCCAGTAAAAAGTGATCTTTTGACCGCCCCGACTAAAAACGGAGACTGTTTTTGTGACGCACACCCAGTTTAATTTATGACCAGAAGTAATAGATATTAAAGCATTAGAATTCATTACTTGTCAGCAAATATCTGTCACCCCCCCCCCCCGGTCTTTCTATTTTTTTTACCTTTGTGCGTGTGTGTGTGTGTGTGTGTTTTCGCTTATCATCAAATTTCTCCCAATTACTCCATCTCCCTCCAGCTTTGAAATAGAAATTTCACGTTTTGCAACTTTTATTTTGCTTGCCAGGAAATTGTCTTTGTAAAAGAGAAATCATAACAACAGGACAGGTTTAAAACTAGTCCCGTCCTCTAATTACCTCATCACGTACAGCGTTCACAGTCTCAGTTACATCAAAGAGCGATCGCTAGCTTTGTGTATTGGATGCCATCAAAAACCGGTTTTTGAAATGCCGTCTCAACACTTAGCGCGCGCAGACTTGGACATTCACAGAAAGTCATCGGAGAGAGAAGACGTGGAAAAGGTAGGCAGAATACTTCATAGTTAGCTTAGATTTTTTAACTCTTATTTGATGCAGGTTAAATGGATTGTTTTTTTTACTGTGGTCCCACCTTTATGGAAAAAAAATCCTTGATTTAATCCATGGTAGAAAATTGCGCTGGTATCTGAATACTCTCATTATCTTGCATTATTTTTGCACTGAGTTTTTTTTAAAAATTTCTGCCAAAAACTTGACTGCATACATAGTGTAATTAAGAATACGCGGTTAAAGCACATCTACATTAAATAAATGGTTTGGTTTAAAATAACTTAAAATTGATCAAAATAAGAGAATGAAAAGAAATACATTTAATCATATAATGATGACCCAAAACAAATAATAACTTAACTTATAAACATAAGTAAGTAATAATTATTCGGAAGATTTCAATTTAAACTATATCTAATTAATAGATGAATCTCAAATCCTAAACCTGGAAAAGAGGAAATACGATATCCCATGTTTATTTCTTTTAAGATTTTAAGAACTGATACTTTACAAACGGCTTTCAGGGGAATATATATTACATTTTACCCCTCCAAATAATGTGATAAGATCATTTGCAACAATAATAGTATATTTTATTTTTATATTTGGTTCTTTTTGTTTATTATAGTTGGAACGTTATCGCTGAAGGTTACAAAATAACGCTTTTGTATTTGGAGCTCTTTTGTGTTTGGAACTCTTCAGTGTCTGGAGCTCTTTTGTGTTTGTGTTTGGAACTCTTTTGCGCGTCTAAAACAGAGAAGATTTCCAATACACACTAGCTGCGGGGTTAGCGTCGTCATATAGAACAGTTTAAGCACACAGTGTCACGAACGCAGCAGAATACGGACGAAAAGGAAAGAAAACGCTAAAAGGTAAGCAATTAAGTTTTTGCTAGAATAATTTAGAATTTATATTTAAAAATAGTTTCTTCTACGTACAATTTCTTTTGATATGTATACTCCAAAATCACATATTTCCGTGTGTCAAAATGAATTTGTTCTTCTGGTTTTCATTTCATCCTTAAATGACAAATAATTATTTAAGCTTCAACAATTTTTGACAAAGAGTAATTAAGCTTCAGCATTGTTTTCATTTCGTAGATGACATAATTTCTTGGGTTTCGACATGCAAAGAAAAAAACGATAATATAATCTTAAACCTAATCTTGTATCTTAAACCTAACCTGGAATCTTAAACTTAACCTGGTATATTTGACTGAACCTGGTAACTTAAACCTAACCTGGTATCTTAAACCTAACATTAATCTTAAACTTAACCTGGTATC